AGGGTTTAGGGTTTAGGGTTTGGGGTTTAGGGCTTAGGGTTTAGGGTCTAGGGTCCTGCTTCGTCAAAAATCTAGGGCTGTCGGGACGTACGAAATACCCTACTTGTTTAAACCCTAAACCCTGAACCCTGAACCCTGAACCCTAAACCCTAAACCCTAAACCCTAAACCCTAAACCCTAAACCCTAAACCCTAAACCGCCTACACCCTTGAAGGGATGAAGAGTTGGGGGCTTGGGGCTGCCGGGCCCGGACGCCCTAAACCCAAAACTAAAGGGACTATGGGGTTTAAGGTTTAGGGTTTAGGGTTTAGGGTTTAGGGTTCTGCTTTTAGGGTTTAGGGTTTAGACTTTCACTCATGGGAATCCCAACCAGGGAACCCCAAGAATATAGTAGGAAGATAGCATAGACTTACTAGGGTCTTTATACTCCCTTTAATTTCCTACTATATTTGTAGGGCTCCCTGTTTGGGTTTCCCACTAGAATCCTATTGTAAACACCTTTTCCTGCATCACAGGCCTGAACCCATGCTGAGGGCGCCGAGGGTAGTTGTAGGTAGGGTTGTCCGGCAACCATCTCCCCCAAACCTAAACCCTAGACCCTACAAGCCCTAAACCCTTACAATCGCACACCCCTCAACGCGTAAAACCCTAAAACCCTAAAACCCTAAAACCCTAGATCCGGTTTGGAGGTTCATGGTAGGTATATGTAGGGTTCTGAGTACCTTAAGTAAGGTTAGAAGTATAGTTAGCCTTCTTATAACTCTACTTCAAAAGCCTACAAGGAAAGCATACTTATAAACCCTACACCCCCAAACCCTGATCCTCCAAATAACCCTTATTATAAACCCTAAACCGCCAACCCTGAACCCTAAATCCCAAACCCTAAACCCCAAACCCTAAATCCCAAACCCTAAACCCCAAACCCTAAACCCCAAACCCTGAACCTCCAAGTAGGGTCCGGGCAGTGCAGTTTAGGAGCATGCCCAGGGGCTCACCCCCCGAAAGAAAAACATCAAAGCTCTATGAACCCGAAAAGGGTTTAGGGTTTAGGGTTTAGGGTTTAGGGTTTAGGGTTTAGGGTTTAGGGTTTAGGGTTGAGGGTTTAGGGGTTAGGAGTGTAGGGATTAAGGGTTCGGTTAAGTCAGGCTTTCTTGGCACCCCAAAACCTAAAACGCTGACTTTGAACAACTCTGGGCACCTCTTTCCACCCAGCACCCTCAACCATGAACCCAACCAAGTACATGGCACAAGCAAAACTAACAGAACTAAACCGGTCACCCTTCCACCACATCACCAGCCTACACCCTAAACCCTAAACCCGAAACCCTAAACCCAAAACCCTAAACCCTGACTGTAAGGTGGCCCGAAAGTAGATGGAGTATGGGTGACGTAGCCCGCCGGTCCCTGTGGACGACCCACATGGCGTGTACGTGGGCCAAGCCGTCCATGAGCTGCTTGAACAGATCCTGCTGAGGCTACTAGGTTTTGGGGTTTAGGGTTTAGGTTTAGGGCTAAGGGTTTAGCACTACATGTGGCTGAGGTAATCGGTTTTGGGTTGAGGAACCCTAAAGGGTTTAGGAACCCTAAACCCCAAACCCCAAACCCTAAACCCTAAACCCTAAACCCTAAACCCTACACCCTAAACCCTAAACCCTAAACCACAAACACACAGGGGACGGAGTCTGGAAAGGGGGCCCACTGGCCATTCTCAACAATCCCGCAAGGGTGATTTGAGGACTGAAGGATTCACCTTCTCAGGGCTGAGGTTCTACGGATTAGGGTTTAGGGTTTAGGGTTTAGAGTTTAGGGTTTGGGGTTTGGGGTTTAGGTTCGATGAATTAGGTTTAAGTAGAAGTACAGGTGCCCTACATAAGGCTACAACCAGTCTTCATGATTATCCCCTTCTTCCAGCCACACTTATAGCTATAAATGAACCTCTAAGTATGGCTGGAGCGCCCTAAACCCTAATAAGCCCCCCTGAGCCCTAAGCCCTAAGCCCTAAGCCTCAAACCCTAAACCCTAAACCTTTCAATTGCATGCGCTCGGCTGCGAGTCTATAGTCAGCCCTGAACCCTCAACCCTAAACCCTAAACCCTAAAACCCAAACCCCAAACCCCAAACCCTCAACTCGGCCGGGCGCTCCTGGGCGCACGGCTCCTGCAGCCTCCGACGGGTCCGCACGTAGCGGAGGAGGTCACCGCCATTGGCAAACTGCGGCGGAAGGATTTAGGGTTTAGGGTTTAGGGTGTAGGGTTTAGGGTTTAGGGTTTCGGGTTTAGGGTTTCAGGCTTAGGGGAAGACTTGGGTTTTTTTTCGGGCTTCCCGCTCAAGACAATTTTAAGAACCTCTACATGCTCGTATGGACGGAACCTGAAGCCCCAAAGCCCCTGCGCGCCGGGCGCTAGGCGATTGCTGCATGGGTGCCTGTAAGTTAAGATGCTTTGCTTGGGATGTTCCCCCTTATACTAACAGTCCTTGATTGGGATAAAAAACCCCCCTATCATAATCCCTTGTAAGGACTGTTAGTATTGGGGGGAACATCCCAATGCTTTGGTCTAGCAGCGAAGACACGTGCGGACCTTAAAAGAGAGACCCGAAGGCTAAAGTAGCAAACGAGACCATGAAGCCCTAACTAACTCGACCCTAAGCCCTCTAAACCCTGTAAACCCTATAAACCCTATAAACCCTCTAAACCCCATAAACCCTATAAACCCTATAAAGCCTATAAACCCTATAAACCCAACAAACGCTATAAACCCTATAAACCCTATAAACCCTAAAAAAACGCTAAAACCCTAACCCGAAAAAAAAACAAAAACCGCGCAACACCTTTAAACCACTTTGAACCCACTTTAGGTCCATGGACCCTATAAACGCCCAAAAACCCCTAAAAACAAATCCCTATACGCCCCTGAAAACCCTACAAACCCTACAAACCCTCCAAACCCTCCAAACCCTGCAAACCCTACAAACCCTACAAACCCTACAAACCCTAAAAAACCCTAAAAAAACCCTACAAACCCTATAAACCCTAAAAAACCCTAAAATAAATACCTACAAACCCTACAAACCCTAAGCCGAGGCCGGAGGCCCGAGGCTTTAAGCTTTGGGCTTTCGGGTGCGGGGCTTGGGCATGTTTAGGGTTTAGGGTTTAGGGTTTAGGGTTTAGGGTTTAGGGTTTAGGGTTTAGGGTTTAGGGTTAGTTTATTAGTTTTTCGGGTCTAGGGTCGGGTTTAGGGTTCACCTAGTGATTCTTAGTAGAGCACTAGGGAGTTACTGTAGGTACCTCATCTCTGACTGAGAACCGGTAGGTTGTGGTTGAAATAGAAAAACGCCTCCATGACCAGGACAATCTGCGAGGGCGTCTCCACAACCTGTCGTGCAACAACAGCAAAGGTGGCTCATGGTTTAGGGTCTAGGGTTTGGGGTTTAGGGTTGAGGATTTGGGGTTTAGGGTTTGGGGTTCAGGCGGTTTAGGGTTTGGGGTTGGGATGTTGCCCCCTTATACTAACACTTCTTAATCAGGATTATGGTACCACATATTCCAATCCGATTGAGGAGTGTCAGTATAATGGGGAACATCCCAAGTTTGGGGTTTAGGGTTTAGGGTTTAGGGTTTAGGGTTTAGGGTTTGGGTGTAGGGGTCGCCCGGAGATCTTGGTTCGGCTGGAATCTGGAAGCTGTCCTGCACCTGCTCTTGGGCTAGTTGCAGTGGCTGCTCAAATAGCCTAGCAAAGGAATGTAGGGTTCAGGGTTTAGGGTTTAGGGTTTAGGGTCCCAAAGGGTTTAGGGTCCAAAGGGTTTAGGGTTTGGGGCACCCAGAGTAATGGCTCCCCGCGCCGTTCACTTCCCCCACGAAAACCTCAAACAGCCTGAACCCCAACCCCCCTACGCCCTAAGCCGCTAAACCCCAAAAGCCCTACAAAACTCAACCCCCAAAGCCCAAAACTGCAAAGCCCTAAACCCCGATAACAAACAGGAAAACCCGAAACCCAGCCTCAAAGAGTTGAATGATGTTGGCGTGTCCCGTGAGACGCTTCATAATCATCACCTGTTTTTGTTGTTAGGGTTTAGGGCTTATAGGCTTCAAGGTTTTAGGGGGTTTAGGGGGTGTAGGAGGTTTAGGGGGGTTTAGGAGGTTTAGGGGGGTTTATAGGGGTTTTAGGGTCATTTTTGGGGGTGAAGGATGAGTCAATGCTCAGACGGTCCAGGGCTCAGGGTTCAGGGTTCGGGGTTCAGAGTGAAGGCCGAGGGCTGAGCGTGGGAGCGCTTCTTCTATTCTTAGTTGTCCAGTACCTAGGGGTTTTAAAGGTTAACCTTTGGGAATATAAGGGGAATGTATTCACCCAAAAAGGTTAAAGGTTACCTACTCTACTACTAAGTATTTTGGTGACAGCTCTGTTCGTTTATGGCTCCCCAGCAGGGTGCTTATTGTTGTTTATATGGGGGGGGATTGTTCTTATGCTCTGAGTGTCTCTTTTTATGCCAAGGGTGTTTTTGATCTTGTGCCACAGGGTGTTGAAAACTGCGAAGCCTATTCCTAAGAGTGCATGTGCTTACATTAGTACATACTTGGGCCTAAGGCGGGCCCTAATTTGCTCAAAGGTGAGGGTGCTAATTACCAGGCATCCCGGTCATGGTGCCTTAGCTGCGCGGGGCTTGAGAATCACGTAGGGTTTGCTGAGGGAGGATTCAGGGTTTAGGGCTTGGGGCTTGAGGAACATGAAGGCTTGTGGGCTGGTGGCGTCTGAAGGGTTTAAGGCCTCAGGGTTTCAGGAGTTTCGGACATGTGCAGATGCTCTCGGACTTCACGGCCTTAGGGGTGCCTGTAGGGGCTTATAGATTCGAAGGGCCTCGTTGCTATTTTTCAGGGTTGCTTTGTCTGAGTTTTGTTTGTGTTTGGGGTTTGGGAATTAGGGTTTAAGACTTTAGAGAGTTCAGGGCTAAGGCAAAGGAGGCCTTTGGGCTCAAAAGCTTTGAAATACGGGTTCTGGGAGCCTCTAGGTTAGGGCGCGTCCTATCTTGGGGAAGGACATGCAAGACCTTTCGGAGTCCTGGCTATCTTTAACATGCATCCAGACTGCTGCCGCCATGAGGCAGTCCACCTCCCTGCGTGAGAGCCCCAGCTTATCCTGCAGCATCCATGGTGCTGGATAGCGATGCGTCAGCCACCAGGGCTCTGCGCCTTGCAGCACCTGCAGCGCATTTTTCCACCGGTTGCCCTTGCGCTCGCGGCTGTTCTCAAAGCTGGCTGAGTGTTGTCGCAGATCCTCGGCCAGCCCTCCGGATGCAAGCTCAGGCCGGCGTAGCCACTGTCTGCTGGGCGCCGCCTGCGGCCAGGTCATTCCCATAAATACAAAAACAGACCCGAAACCTCAGGGTTTTGTAGGGCACAAGTCAAAACCGACCTTAGGATTTGAGAAGTTAGGGTTTAGGGTTTAGGGTTTAGGGTGTAGGGTGTAGGGTTTAGGGTTAGGGAGTAGGGTGTAGGGTTTAGGGCTTGCGGTTTTGGGCTCAGGGGTTTTGGAATTTGGGGTTCAGCGGGTTTGGGCTTTCAGAGGCTTTGAGGTTCAGCATTAAGGGTGATTTTTTGTGTTCTAGGGTTTAGGGTTTAGGGTTTCGGGTTTAGGGTTTTGTGGTTTTTGGGGCTTCGTGGGCTTAGGAGTTTTGTTGTCTAAAGGTTTGGACTTGCGGGCTTTTTGACCCTGCGACACTGCAGGAGCCTCTTGCTGGAGACACTTCCGATTGCCCACCTGCCATGGTCGCGGGTTTCGGTGCTTTTTGAATTGGGGAACCAGTCCCTGAACCCTCGGGTTTAGGGTTTAGGGTTTAGGCGTAAAGCCTACGCCCGGAACCCGGTACCTGGGGCCCCAGGCCCTAGGCCTAGGCCGAGCCCCGCATGCTCTTAAGGCGTGGTAACGAGGAAAATGTCGGCGTTGGCCGTAAACTTCCAAACCCTGACATCTCTCAAATCAATCAAAATCCTTAAGACCTAAACCCTTAAGAGGAAAACCCTGAGACCTCCAAACTGTATAGAGTCCAAGAGAGCTTCACCCAATGACCCACGTGTACAACGTGAAGAGAAGCGTCTCGGGCCACTGGGCCAGAGTTTACTTGAAGGTTCATGGCACTTATTAATCAATTATAACTGTACGTATAACCCACATATAAGCCCCTCAAGTGCCCTAGCATGGTAAAAAAGGTACGGTTGTAAGTAGAGTTATGATTGGTTAATAAGTACCATGAACCTTCAAGTAGGGGCCTGGGGTCCAAGGGTTCGGCTTATAGGGTTTAGGGTTGGGGGTTTAGAGTTTAGGGTTTTGGGGTTCAAGGGTATAAGGCTTTTATAGGGTTTAAGGTTCAAGGGTGTAAGGTTTAGGGTTCGAGGGTTTATACGGTTCAGGGTTGAGGGTTCAAGGGTTTCAGGTTCAGAGCTCGAGTATGCTGCTGAGGATTCTACCTTTCCAGCGTCGTTTACTGCCTGAAAAGGGGGCCTCTCACCGCATCTCTGTGGGTCACCAAACGTCGAGCAGGCAAAGCCCCCTAAATCAGTCGACACCCTAAACCCTAAACGCTAAAACCCTAAACCCCACACCCTAACTCCCCTTCCAAGAAAGCCCCGAGCCTCCGCAATCCGCCTCCGATCGCACTGCTTCATGGCTGACAGCTCCTGCACGTTAAGGCTTAGGGTTTAGGGTTTAGGGTTTAGGGTTTAGAGTTTAGGGTTTAGGGTTATGGGGGGCTTCGTCTTAACAAAGCCAAGGATTTAGGTTAGGGTTTAGGGTTTAAGGTTTAGAGTAGCACACACAAATCCACTGTCGGAGCCCTGACTCCCGAAAAGGTCAACCTGAAAAGTTGGCTGCCTTGGTTTGGAAGCATATTATTCTAGGGCGTATTTAGGTGTATAGGGTTTAGGATTTAGGGTTTAGGGGTGTAGGGTTTCGGGCTTAAGGCTTAGGATTTGCAAGGTCTGAGGATTCACAATTTGTGGGTTTAAGGTCTTAGGGTTTCTAGTGCCTTTGCTGGTGCCGATTGGGCATGTACTACAGTGGGCTACCCCCCATAGACCCTAGAACCAGACTGACATCTTGCCCCGCTTGACAGAGGGAATCCTTCTCAGAAGGTTGTAGGACTCGGTGTCTAGGGGGAAGTGCTGGACTATTCCGTAGCTACCGTGACGGGTCAGTTTCAGGATTGAAAGGCCGACGATCTCCAAATCTTCACCTCAGACCTTTTTAATCACCAAAGCATGTGCGGAGAGAGAACCCTAAACCCTAAACCCTCAACCCTAAACAGAGGACTGCCGATGCCCTAACCCCAAACCAGTCGACGTTGACTTGCATCGCCTGACACACCCTTGTGTACGGATGTTTCCCACTATGGGGTTTAGGGTTTAGGGTCCCCAAAATGCCCCAAAGTACTTTAGTCTGTATTATTGTAGAAACCCCCGAATAGGGTACCGCCATTTTCGGAACCCCACCTACAACTCGAAGGCCTGCTAAGATGGCCCTCTGGCCGCATGCAGCACGGCAGTTGTATACTACTATTTGGTTAAGAACCCCCAACAAAAATATATTCCCTCTCAGGGTATTACAATGAATTGTTTTGGGGTTCTTAAGCAAATACTTGATTCAGACGCTTCAGGCTTGCAGGACTTGGGAGCCTCCGTCAGCTTGTGCACAGCGACATTGACCTGCACGGCGTGGGTTGCTGATTAGGGGTTCGGGGTCTAAGGTTTTAAAACCCCAACCCCTAAACCCTAAGCCCTTAGAGCTTTTTCAATCACAATCAGGGCTGAGTGTGTATCCCTGGAACAGTGGCGCCGCAAGCCCAACCCTAAATCCGAAACCTGTCAAGTACAGTAAAGTCCAAAAAGTTGGAACATCCTTCTCGCCATACCCCAATAGGTATACTAAAGGGAATCCTAGCTCTCATCATTCTTAAGCCATGTTCCAATTTTCTGGAGTTTACTGTAACTACTCTCATCACTATCTAGCCAGGACGACTGAGAGAACTAGCAACCGCATCCCACAGCATTGGAAGGTTGCTGAAGACATGAGGCTGTGCAGTCATGCAGTCTCACGCAGCACTGCATTTCGGATGTAAACCCCGAACCCCTAAACCCTAAACCGTAAACCCTAAACCCTGAACCCCCGCCCCCAACCGTCGCCACAGGCCGACTCACCATCCAGAGTCGGGAAGGGGGACGAGTATTCAGATCAGTGACACGATGCCCCCCTTAGAACCTTAATAAGAATACCATTTTAGGGTTTAGGGTTTAGTGTTTAGGGTTTAGGGAAAATACTATATATATGTTCAATATTGCATTGGGTTTTATATTCCTCAGGCTGTATTCCTACTTGATATTCCCGAGGGGTTGCATATTCCTAATTAAGGGTGTTTTCATATTCTCTTGGGTTTTATATTCCTAAGGGGGCGGAAGGACAATCTCTTTGAATCTCTTTCGCGCTGTCAGAAGGGGCTTGAGCTGCAGAGGGCGGAGTGATTGGCCTCCTCAGGGCACTCTGCCAACCCTAAACCCTAAACCCCAAACCCTAAACCCGAAAACCCTACCTAGACCCAGGACTAACCTAGGAATGAAAAGGGTGCCCTTTTTGGTTTTAAGGGGATTTTAAGGGAACCCCTACCCCAAAAAGAAGGAAACAAGGGCCTACTCCGGGCCTTAGCTACTTCTAGAGCTACCCATTCACCTCGAGGTCGGGCTTTGCCATAGGATGCCTAGTTAGGGCTTACGGTCGACCCCCATATCCTCTAGACTCTAAGCCCTTTGAAACTTGGGGGTTTAGGGTTTAGGGCTTAGGGCTTAGGATTTAGGGTTTAGGGTTTAAAACCCCTTCGGCACCTTTTGAACCCTAAGGCACACCCGGCCTTGCCAAAGGCGCCACGGCCCAGCAGGCGGCCCACGGCGTAGCAGTCCATGCTGTTGGCGCCGGGCCTGAAGCTGAGAGGGCTTGACGGGAAAAAGGGGTTCAGGGTTTAGCGGTTTAGGGTTTAAGGTTTAGGGTTTAAGGTTTAGGGTTTAGGGGTGCAGCTGAGAGGGCTTGAGGGTTTTAGGGGTTTAGGGTTTGGGGGATTAGGGTTTAGGGTACTTGCCTAAATATAGGGAAACTTGAGGGTTTTAGGGGTTGAGGGGTTTTATTAGGGCGTAAGCCGGAAAGGCCGCGAAGATGACTCAATCGTCATGTTTGGTTCCATCTCCACAACTGGCTCACAGCCCCTTAGAACCTTAATAACAGTAATATTTTTAAATATCCTCTTGGGTGTTATATGAACAAAAAATAATTCCCAAGGGGGATATAGTTATGAGACCTTCATAACAGCCGTCAACCTCCCAGCTCTCTGCACGTATTTGACCGACGGATGTCTTCAAAATCCCGGCGCAGCTGGCTTGGGCGGCCGTCCTTGTGATCCTTCCTCAAAGATTTCAGGTGTGACTTTGATGTCGAAAACTTCAATCCGGCACCTTGCCCACGAGCCCTTAATCGCGGCAAGAGCAGCACATGTGCCACCCAGCAAGGGTGGGCCTTCTTGCCACTCATCTGCACTCTGTTTAGGGTTTAGGGTTTTGGGCCTTTTAGGGTTTAGGGTTTCGGGCTTAGTACTAGATAGGAACCCCCGCCTAAGGCCCAAGCAGATACCATAACGGTACATGGACGCTTTGCGAGTGGGGTTTGGGCTGTAGGTATATGGGGGTTTCTGAAATTAGGTGTCATTGGGTTCCTTATTGTAAGGGAATCCTGCTGGGTCCCTTTTTTCGTAAACCCCCATGTAGGGTCTCTTTGGGGCTTTTTTTCGCAACAGGGTTTGGGGCTTGGGCCTTAAAACCTGAAAGCCGACCTGGGGTTCTATGCACTTGCACTGTTGGATTGTCCAAAGCCTTAAGGTGTAGGGCTGAGGGTTTAGGACTTGGGGGTTTAGGGTTTGGGGTTGTGCAGGGTTATGCCCTGCTCATCCTTCTTTTGATTGGATCATTTCCCTAAAAATGGGGAGGGGGGGAGGTACCCTGTATATACACAAAATAGAGCAGAATCCCCATTATAATGACCCCGCCCCCCAACACAAAAAGGTACCCTAATTTTGGGGAAACGCCTGTGTTGGGTCGTGCCGGGTCCCTGTTGCAGACCCGAAACCTAACCCTAAACCCCAAACCCCGGAGTTTAGGGTTTAGGGTTTAGAGCTTGGGGTTTCGGGTCTTGGTAGCCCAGTAACCATATTTTAACAAGGGCACCCTTTCTGGGCCTGGTTGCTTGATCAAGGAACCTTGTTCGCAGAAAAGGGACAAGGCCACCAGCCCCAAGCCCTAAGCCCTAAACCCTGAACCCTAAGCCCT